CACCAGAGACTTAGAAGACTGGGCATGGAAAAGACTGTTGTAGTACCTGCTCTTTCCAGTACCTCGGTGTTTGGGATTTTGACCTGGCACTTAATGCCAAGTATTCTTCTTAGGCATCGCATTGAAAGCTATTTAGCCGTCTCTCCTAGTGCAAATAGGTTGACCAAGTTTCACTGCCATAAAGCAGAGTGCTGGCAACACGAGCCTGATAGACAAGGGTTTTTGTTTTAATTGTGAGCTTTCTGTTCTCACAAGCTATCTTCATCAATCTGCTCATTGTTGTTGCTGCCTTACCTATCCTGATGTTGATTTCTTGGTCCAGAGATAGTTTACTATTCACTGTGGAGCCCAGACAGGTAAAATGATCTACTGTCTCCAGCTCTTCACCATCAATGTAGACTATGTCTGTCATTAACACCTTGCACCATAACTTTTGTCTTCATTTTGCTGACTGTTAGTCCTAATTCACAGCAGGCATCAGCAAAGACAGCTCGTAAACATTGCAAATCCTCTGAGTGGGTGGTTATTGCGGCATCATCTGCAAATAGCAGCTCTCTGATAAATACCTTTCTTATCCTGTTTTTTTTTCCTTCAGCCTGCGAGCATTGTAAAGGCTGCTGTCAGATCATGAATGAATATACCACCCTCCTGATCTCGAAAGGCATATGTCAAAAGAAGTGAAAAGTATATTCCAAAGAGGGTAGGAGCAAGTACACACTCCTGCTTCACTCCATGTTTGATTACAAACTCCTCCGATGTTACACCATCAAAGTTGATTGTACCTTTCATACCTGTGTGGAACGACTTAATAATGCTCAGTAGAGTAGGTGAACACCCAATCTTCTTTAGTACGTTGAACAGACCTTTTCGACTAACTAAATCAAATGCCTTGGTAAGATCAGTAAAAGCAACATAGAGTGGTTGATTTTGTTTGCCACATTTTTCCTGCAACCGACGTAATGAAAATATATCAGTGGTCGATCGGTTCCAACGAAAGCCACACTGGGACTCTGGGTAAACGCAGTCCCCCAGAATCAGGAGTATTTGAAGACAATTCTCGCAAGTAATTTTCCAACAGTACACAGCAGTGATATTCCCCTGTAGTTATTGCAATCACTCCGATCACCCTTGTTCTTGTACATCATTATGATGCTTGTGTCTTTGAAGTCTTGCGGAACTTGTCGCTCTTGCCAGCAGAGTGTTATTAACTGATGGATGTGTGGGTTAGAATGTCTTTCCCACTCCTGATGATTTCAATAGTAATTCCATCTCTGCTTGGGGCTTTCCCCGAAGCCAGTTTACAAGAAGCATTCCTAACTTCTACAGCTGCTGGAAATGTGTCCAGATAGTCAAGAGTTGGTAGCATCTTCGTGGCATTAAGTGCACCATCTGTTAGTTTAGTATCAACTGAGTAAAGCTCCAAATAATGTTCCACCCATCTAACTAGCTGCTTCTCCTCTTCATTAATAATCTCCCCATTCAAACTATTTAGTGGTGCACTTTTTTAAATTGTAGGACCGATGGCCTTCTTGATCCCCTCACACATGCCTCTAACATTACCACTACTGCTAGCACTTTGAATGATTTCACATGACTGGATCCAGTAATTGTTGGCACACTGCCTAGCTACCTTTTGCTAATGATTTCTAGCTGCTCTCAATTCAGTGAGAGTTCTTTGTTTCCCTTAGAAGTATTACCTTTTTTGCTGTCAATTAAAGGTTGGAGTTTCTGGCTATTTGATTCAAACCAGTCCTTACTTCCATTTTCTCTAATCCCATAGACTGATACAGCTGTTTTGTAAACAGTCTCCTTAATTGCATCCCATTTTAGGCTTGCTGTAGAGTTATCCTGGCTATCAGTGAAAGCATCTTCAAGCTGTTGTTAAAACTCAAACACTTTTCAGGGTTTTTAGTTTTGGAAATATTTAACCTAGGGATATGTTTTTTTTTTTTTTAAGTAAAAGTTCTCTTTGGTCTCATCGGAACTCTTGCAGCAACTAGGCAATGGTCAGTATCCCAGTCAGCACTGTGGTAGCTGCGAGTTAGTGATACACAGTTCAGGTGCTGCCTGGTCAGTATCACAGTCAGCACTGTGGTAGCTACGAGTTAGTGATACACAGTTCTAGTGCTGCCTGGTCAGTATCACAGTCAGCTCTGTGGTAGCTGCGAGTTAGTGATACACAGTTCTAGTGCTGCCTGGTCAGTATCACAGTCAGCTCTGTGGTAGCTGCGAGTTAGTGATACACAGTTCAGGTGCTGCCTGGTCAGTATCACAGTCAGCACTGTGGTAGCTGCGAGTTAGTGATACACAGTTCAGGTGCTGCCTGGTCAGTATCACAGTCAGCTCTGTGGTAGCTGCGAGTTAGTGATACACAGTTCAGGTGCTGCCTGGTCAGTATCCCAGTCAGCACTGTGGTAGCTGCGAGTTAGTGATACACAGTTCAGGTGCTGCCTGGTCAGTATCACAGTCAGCTCTGTGGTAGCTGCGAGTTAGTGATACACAGTTCAGGTGCTGCCTGGTCAGTATCCCAGTCAGCTCTGTGGTAGCTGCGAGTTAGTGATACACAGTTCTAGTGCTGCCTGGTCAGAATCACAGTCAGCTCTGTGGTAGCTGCGAGTTAGTGATACACAGTTCAGGTGCTGCCTGGTCAGTATCACAGTCAGCTCTGTGGTAGCTGTGAGTTAGTGATACACAGTTCTCATGCTGCCTCCTCGTGAGAATAAGGTCCAGCTGGTGTCAGTGGCCAGATCTTGGATGTTTCCATGACACCTTATGGCGGTCTTTAGTTTTGAAAAAGGAGTTTGTGACGCACAAGTCACTTCTAGTGCAGAATTCCAGTAGTCTGCTCATTTTCATTCATGTGGCCAGTATTATCTTTCTCAAGACAAACTGACTATGAGTCTGACTCCACGCAAGCATTAAAATCACCAAGTATATAGATGGCGTCAGATTTAGGAATTGCTTTCACTGTTGGACTCTCAACTGATCCTAACAGTGAATTCTTTACTGCAAATTCCACTCCATACATCCTGATTTCTTCCTGGCCTCTGCCTTTCCAGAAAAATGTATAATTATTTTCTCTAATGTCAGATGGGTTTCCTGTAGGCCAGCAATATCTATGTCAAGTTTGTTGAATTTGGCATCAATGATAGCCGTTTTTTTTCTTCAAATAAATGTTTTCCAGGTCATTGGAAAACCCAGGACACATGGTCCTCACGTTCCAAGAGCCAAGTCAAAGCTTGGGGTTATGTTTCTTTTTATTGCCTGGTGGATTGGTTTTACGGACTATCTGCAAGCACCCATTGAAGCACACAGGCTGTGGTGGATCCATGCCTTATTGGCTGTGGGCTGCCCAGCTTGAGGCGAGCAGTAGTTGATCAGTGACATTCGAAGATGTCTCCCACCATCAGAGGCAACCCGTGGCGCCCTCGTCTACGCCAACTGACAAGGACTTATAACCGGTAACTGCTGCCTCTCGATTTGTTTCTGAGATCAGTTATAGCCAGGGATGAAGTTCCTCCTCTCCATAGCACAAAGCCTGGGCAGTATTGTAGAGCCCATATTTTGCCCATGCATAATGATCCCCCTCTCTACCTGCCTTGTTTACTCCAAAGGAAAGGTAAAACCAGAGCATTAGGAACAAGGCAGGCTGCTGAAGCTGCCAGATCAGAAGAGCAGTGCTCTGTCTGTCCGCCTGTTGGAGCTTCCCTCCTAGACCAGCTGCCAACCAAGGCGAAGGGAGCTTCCCTCCTAAATTCAGAGTTTACAGACAGTGAGCACTAAGCAGCAGAATAAAAACTACTTTTCAATTTTTCAATAACAACAAAAAAAAAGAGAGTTGATACAACAACTAACTGTGACAGAAGAATCAAAAGAGCCATCACGGCCTGCATTTCAGGTAAGAGTACCCACATCTCCTGACATCAGGTAAGGGTACCCACATCTCCTAACATCAGGTAAGGGTACCCACATCTCATGACATCAGGTAAGGGTACCCACATCTCATGACATCAGGTAAGGGTACCCACATTTCATGACATCAGGTAAGGGTACCCACATCTCATGACATCAGGTAAGAGTACCCCCATCTCATGACATCAGGAAAGGGTACCCACATCTCATGACATCAGGTAAGGGTACCCACATCTCATGACGTCAGGTAAGGGTACCCACATCTCCTGACATCAGGTAAGGGTACCCACATCTCATGACATCAGGTAAGGGTACCCACATCTCATGACATCAGGTAAGGGTACCCACATCTCCTGACATCAGGTAAGGGTACCCACATCTCCTGACATCAGGTAAGGGTACCCACATCTCATGACATCAGGTAAGGGTACCCACATCTCATGACATCAGGTAAGGGTACCCACATCTCCTGATGTCAAGGTAAGGGTACCCACATCTCGTGACATCAGGTAAGGGTACCCACATCTCCTGACATCAGGTAAGGGTACACACATCTCTTGACTTCAACTGTCTCATGTTAGTCTGTGTTTTACATTAAAGATTGCTGTGTGTGCTCTGTGGGTGTTTGGCTTAGTGTGTTTTTGAATAGATTGTCTATCACGGGTCTAAACAAAAAGGCATGTACCATCATGGTAGATGAGAGATCTGTGTCAAGCATGTATGTCTAGATTATTTACTGACATACATCCATGCTGTTTTACTGACATAAATAATTGCATGTTTTGGTCATGAATATTTATAATTCAGCTGTTCATCTTTTTGTAGGAACTGAGGTTTTGAGACAAGTGAAGACAGAAGCTGTCAGGTCATCTATTGCTGGGATAATAGTACGGTCAACAGCGGCCTGCAGTCAGACATCTGCAGAAGTAGACACTTCAGAAAGCCACAACATCATATGTGCTAGCAGAATTACAGTGTCACAGCTCCGGCACCAGACAGCTCCAGCACCAGACAGCTCCGGCACCAGACAGCTCCGGCACCAGACAGCTCCGGCACCAGACAGCTACAACCAGCCTTCAGCCGTAACAATGAGCAGCTCCGAGGAAGTGTCCTGGATATCTTGGTTTTGTGGTCTCAGAGGAAATGAGTTTTTTTGCGAGGTCAGTGATGCAGAAAATACAGCAGATCCTAAAGGTCACAGAGCCAGCTAGATTAGATGGACTTATGATTGAAAGGTGTGATAATGGGACATTACACGTCGAATAAATGCTAGCAGACATTTGAGAGTTAATAGGGCATTACATGATGAATGAATGCTAGAAGACATTTGAGAGACAATGGGACATTACACCATGAATGAATGCTAAAAGACATTTGAGAGTTAATGGGACATTACTCAATGAATAAATGCTAGAAGACATTTGAGAGTTAATGGGACATAACACAATGAATAAATGCTAGAAGACATTTGAGAGTTAATGGGACATTACACCATGAATGAATGCTAGAAGGCATTTGAGAGTTAATGGGACATTACACAATGAATAAATGCTAGAAGGCATTTGAGAGTTAAAGGGACATTACACCATGAATGAATGCTAGAAGACAGGTGAGAGTTAATGAGACATTACACAATGAATGAATGCCAGAAGACATTTGAGAGTTAATGGGACATTACACAATGAATAAATGCTAGAAGACAGGTGAGAGTTATGGGACATTACACAATGAATAAATGCTAGAAGACATTTGAGAGTTAATGGGACATTACACCATGAATAAATGCTAGAAGACAGGTGAGAGTTAATGAGACATTACACAATGAATGAATGCCAGAAGACATTTGAGAGTTAATGGGACATTACACAATGAATAAATGCTAGAAGACATTTGAGAGTAAATGGGTCATTACACCATGAATGAATGCTAGAAGACATTTGAGAGTTAATGGGAAATTACACAATGAATGAATACTAGAAGACATTTGAGAGTTAATGGGACATTACACGGTGAATAAATGCTAGAAGACATTTGAGAGTTGATGGGACATTACACGGTGAATAAA